TTGCGTGAAATTGCAATTTCCATTGTATGAAATCACACACATCTGTTTGGATTTGATCAAGCTTTCCTGATCTCCATGTAACTTTCTTAGACGCCCATTTTCATTCATGTCATCGACTGTTTTTCTGACTACAGTCTTTAAAAGTCATTGCCTGCTTTGCCATGTTGTCTGTTTCGGTGAAGGTTTTCACATTGATCACACAACTTAAACCCATCTGGGCTTGATATGCTACAGCAGGGCTTTGTGCTGGTCACAGTAGCATTCATGTGATTGTTGAGTAGTGGCGATGTCACCACTCAATGTTTTAACTGTTTCTTTCTCTCTCCCTCCCCTATTTGTCTCTCTTTCCCCATTCCTTCGGCCTTCTCACTGCTACCATGATGCTTGGGATCATTTCTCTAATCAGGACATACCTTCTGGATGGGTTAATATCACATTTTATACTCTTTTACTATAGTATGTTTGTGTGTGAGTGTGTATGTATTGTTTAATAGCATTTAATGACTGATAGAAACACATTTGGTATAAAATAAACCAGGAATTTGAAAGTTTCAGGTTCGAGTAGAACAATAATTTGGATAGAAATAATACAGGGTGTCTTAAGATCATCAAGAAGGACTTTATCTCACTTTACATATATTTTGCGTATTTTATCGTATGTTTTGACTATATATTTCTAGATGTATTCCTTTGTTTTTTCACACTCTTTTTCCATTCCCTCTTCATCTCCCACCTCCCTCGTCTCTGAATAGCATAGCCTATCGGAGGGTAATCCGTGTCTATCAGTATGAAGTCGATGATGATCTTTCTGGAAGGTCTTCTCCCTTTTTTCTTCCTCTTCTGATTGGCCTCTTACCCCTCATCCACACCTTTTGGGTTTTCTTCTCATGCACTCGAGTCTGATCCCCACTGTAAAGGCTCTGTGTGTGTGTTCACTCCCTTTTACTAACATTCACTGCGATGTGAGGCTTTTTTTTAGATGAACCCTTCCAGCTTCTTAATCTAATAAGCCTGGCTACATTTGGCACCGATGTTGAGGAGTGTGAACATTTCATCCCATTCTTTAACCTTTTTGTTGTTTCAGTTATTTGTTGGGGGTTTTTTTTCTTTATTTGGAAGAAAATGTTCATGCACCAGATCCAGGGTGGAAACTGCAATGTGATTTCCATGATTGAAAAAGTACTTTTAGACATTTTCAATGTCCTGATCTGAATTTGAACAGCTGTGCATTGACATTTTTAGACATTTATTATATGGCTAGTTCAGTCGAACTCTGAATCTTTGATTTTGCACATTTTGCCTTTAAAAGTGTGCAAGACCTACACCCTAAACTAAAACTAAGCAGTGGTACAAATATAGCAGTTTCTAACCCTGTTGACAGCAGCCCTAATCAAGCATGGTCTGGATTACCATGGATGTAATTTAGCTTCGTTAGCATGACTTTCCTTACTGTAGTTGCATTCTGGGGTGGCTTCATAGTTCTCCATATCTACTACAAAACAATTGGTAAGTCCTATTATCATGTACAAGAAATTCAGGAAGATGTAGGTTACAGAACTAGACGTAATGACGGAGGTTGTGCAAACCATTTAAACAACTCGGAGTCATATAAAACAGACCTTTTTAACTCTCTGGAAAATACAACTGGTTTTGTTCCTGATAATGACCTAATAACTGAGCTAGTCTAGGGTGACCATACGTGCCATTTTCCCAGGACGCGTCCTGGCCAGGATTTCTATATTGCCTAAAATATCTAGGTTTTGGCTTTGTTTGCGTGTGCAAACCGATCGGTGTATGACATCAAAATACCATACAGACGGTTCCTTATGCTTTCAAAATGCTCTCGAGGTATTTTGATGTCATTAGACTGGCACGTGGAGTGAGTGAGATGATTGTGGGTGGATGTGCCATGTGCTCGTGCTGCTGCTGGTTTCATTATTCTGTGTGTGGGGCAGGTCCTGCATGGTGGAAGAATCCGGAACTCTAGAGTCACAGCTAGAGGCCACTAAGGTGAGTTTGAGAGCAGTGAATGGATAATTGAGACCCGTTTAATGAAGCTGATCGATTTTGGATAACAAAATGAATCGACATTAATGTATTAAATCAAATGAGCAGCACACTGCTGTTCAAAGCATCTTTTCTATTTTAATATATTTTCTATTTTAGATGGCAAAGCTGAATTTTCAGCTTTTTCTGATTATTATCAGTGTTGAAAACTATTTAATATTTAAACTGCTAAATATTTTGTGGAAAGCGTAACACATTTCTTTTCTTCTTTTTTTAATTAATTGAATATTTAAAGGAACAGTATTTATTTGAAACCGAAGTCTTTTGTAACATTATAAATGCCTTTTGATTAATTTAAAGAATTTAATTAAAAGAAAATGAAAATTCTGTCATTAATTACTCACCCTCATGTTGTTCATCTTCGGAACACAATTTAAGATATTTTTGATGAAATATGAGGGCTCTCTGACCCTCCCATAGACAGCAAGGTAACGCAAAGAAAACAAAAATAACGACTTTATTCCACATTTTCGTCTCTACTGCGTCACTTTGGATGCGCGTTCACGACAGTATCATGACGCGAGCGTGTGGCGGCGCTGACCCAGATCCGGCGTCCCCACACGCTCGTGTCATGATACTGTCGTGAACGCGCATCCAAAGTGACGCAGTAGAGATGAAAATGTGGAATAAAGTCGTTATTTTTGTTTTCTTTGCGCTAAAAAGTATTCTCGTAGCTTCGTAACTTTACAGTGAACCACTGATGTCACACGGACTACTTTGTCGATCATCTTGGTACTTTTCTGGATCTTGAACGTGGTAGTTACCTTGCTGTCTATGGGAGGGTCAGAGAGCCCTCAGATTTCATCAAAAATATCTTAATTTGTGTTCCGAAGATGAACGAAGGTCTTACGGGTTTGGAACAACATGAGGGTGAGTAATTAATGACAGAATTTTCATTTTTGGGTGAACTAACACTTTAATGTGTACTTGGTGTATAAAAGTGTTTCTTTAAATAAAAAATCACCAAACCGTTGAACGGTAGGTAGTCTGTATCATATAAAATAGTGAATACATTGTTTCTGATCAAAAATCATTTTATGAAAAATCCCCAAAAATGGTGTTTCATGTGCAAAATTGTAAATCCCAGACCTAGTCATGCAAATTGATCAAATCTAAAAATATAAATTTTATAAAATGAACTTATGTTGATCTCTAAAGACGTTTCTTTTTGTCAGTGTAGTGAGTACAATTTTTTTTGTAGTTTTGCCGAGTTACTTTACTTTTTTCTAGTTAAACGTTGCTTTGTGTGTCCTATTTATATAAAGTGGTTTTCTAATATCCATCCATTATAAATGACTAGAAAGTCATGGAAAGAACATTGGAATTCATTTGCCAGAAAGTATACTAACATTTCACTTTAGAAGTCTGTAAGAAAGAACACATTAATACACTTGCATAAGCTTTAAACCCTAGACAGTAATAGATGCACTGAACTATTAGATGCTCTGGTCTCATGTCTTATCCCTCGGGGTTTCTGTGCAGCGCAAGCACCAGGAGATTCGTGCCATGCGCAGTCAGCTGAAGAAGATCGAGGATCTGGGAGCAGCCATGGAGGAGGCGCTGATCCTAGACAACAAATACACAGAACACAGCACTGTGGGTCTGGCCCAACAGTGGGACCAACTCGACCAACTGGGCATGAGAATGCAACACAACCTGGAACAACAGATCCAAGCCAGGTGCCAACATTTTTCCATCATATTATATATATTATATTAAGAAAATTTTTGATTATAATTATTATTGATTTTTATTAGAATACCATTTTGTTTTTTTTAATACATTATTATTTTTTTAACATTTAATTTAACTTATTCTTTTTCTTGTACTTCTCTTCTAGAAACACTACAGGAGTAACAGAAGAGGCCCTGAAGGAATTCAGCATGATGTTCAAGTGCGTAATCAACTTTAATGAATAACAAAACATTACAATGCTAAACTTAAGTGTTCTTGAAAACTTAACAAAAATGTTTGTTTCTCAGACACTTCGACAAAGAAAAATCGGGCCGTCTCAATCACCAGGAGTTCAAGTCCTGCCTGCGGTCACTGGGCTACGACCTGCCCATGGTTGAAGAAGGAGAACCAGACCCAGAGTTTGAGTCCATCCTGGACATAGTGGATCCAAACAGGTGAGAAACACTATCTGTGGATGAGCTAAATATTCTGTGTTCTTTCTGTCATGGATCTAACATCAATTTGTTTCGTTCAGGGATGGAAACGTGTCCTTGCAGGAGTACATGGCCTTCATGATCAGCCGAGAAACAGAGAATGTGAAGTCAAGTGAAGAGATCGAGAGCGCTTTCCGTGCTCTCAGCGCCGAGAACAAACCTTACGTCACCAAGGAAGAACTCTACCAGGTACAAAATATCAAACCCATGCCATTTACAACTAGTATTAGATCAGTTTCAAACTTTTGGCCTGTTTCATGTTTGGTGTTAGAAAGATGATCTTAACGACCTTCTGTGCTTACAGAACCTGACGAAGGAACAGGCAGACTACTGCATTTCCCATATGAAGCCCTACCTGGACAGCAAGGGCCGCGAGATCCCGTCAGCTTTCGACTTTGTGGAATTCACACGCTCGCTCTTCGTCAATTGATTCCCCGCCTCTTGCCTGCCAGTGACCAATCGGGATGCGTTTTCCCCCTTTCACAAGAACACACAGCCAAACTGCATGGATCTGAATTGAAATTCTCTATAGCACCCAGTATAGCAATATCTGTATCTTGCTATCACTCTTAACTCTGCATATTTATCTGACACTTCCTCATGCTTCACCGACAATAGTGTAGTGGATCTGTCTGCATTTTATTGTGGTTGTTTTAGCTGTTAAGTGCTTTGCTTTGTTTAACAAAACTATAGAGAGGATATGCAATAACATCACCCACGAGACTGCAGTGTGCTTAAATAAACGCTACTGGTTATAACTGGAAGGAATTGTCAAGTGTTTTTATTTTACAGTGTAAATGTACAGTTGAAGATATGCAATGCATATATAAACGTGTTTTAAGAAAGTTTCAAACAGACTCAGTCCGCCACCTCATTGGCTAGCTGTTCTAGCATTGCCGTTTCCTTGGCACCTTGTTCTGTTAACTCGGAGCTGAGCTGCCAGATGCTGACACTACCATCTGCATTGCCCGCTGCCATCAGATTTGTGTGTTTGGGGTTGAACTCCAGACAATATGTTGGCTGACCACTTGTGTTCTGGTCAATTGTGGCAGCTGGCCTTAAAGACCTCCGACCCAAATCAAACATCTGGACCAAACCTGCCAGAGAAGAGTTTACATTTCAATTTAAAATGTATAATTATTATACAATATATCTTGAGACCATGCTTTCATTTTACTAAATATATTACATCATTTTTTTTATCTATATTAAAACGTTTTATTAGAGTGCAGTAAATATTTTGAGTGCAATTCTTTTTAATATAAAAAGTATCATGTAATATAATATTTATCAATATTTTATTAAAGGCACAATATGCAAGATTTTTTTATTAAAATATCCAAAAATCACTCAAACAGTATTATATATTTTGCTGACGTGTGTACTTACATTATCCCAAATGTTTCGAAGAATGTTTAAATCCAGAGAAATAAGCTTTATTTGTTTTGAATACGTGCCCTCTAGCGACGAAAATTACATATTGTGCCTTTAATATTAATAAACACCATTAATATATATTAATAGATTTTTCAATATATAAATGAAAAATATCCAATATAGATCTGCTCTATATATACTGCCCTTTTGGAGAATTACAAACATCTCACCTTGTCCTGTGGCTGCAGCAAAGACTAGAGGGCGTGTAGGTGACCACCTCACCCCAAACACATATGAATCGGACACCCGTAGAGACAGCAGGGGACGGGGCTGGAGCACAGTGTGCAGATGAGCCAAACCATCTGTTCCGACACTTACAAACAGATTCCTAAATTCAGAAACACCAGGAGGTGTTACAATTACTGCCAATTAGCCTTAAAGTAGATATTATACTAAGTAAATAACAGTACAAAATATACCACACAGCTTACCTATGGAACGGTGAGAAGTGGACTGAGTGCACAGGGCCCCCTAGTGGTGAGAAAGAGAATTGCACTGGAGCCCGCAGTGTCACGCTCTCACCATCAGGGGGCACTGCTGCCACTGTCTCACTGCTGAAGGAGCATTTGAGCACAAGGCCTCCTTCTGAGCCCACCAGGAATGTGTCCAGGTCCCACGGGGAAAGTGCAACAGAGGTTACTCCTATAGTGGTGCTACCTCGGGTCTTCAGGGAGAGACAATTGTGTTGTATTATTAGGGTGAAATGCTCAAAAATATGTCATGGTCATATGTCATCCCAAAATATATAATATGTGACCCTGGACCACAAAACCAGTCATAAGGGTCAATTTTTCGAAATTGATATTTATACATCATCTGAAAGCTGAATAAATATGCTTTCCATTGATGTATGGATGTTATGAAAGGACAATATTTGGCCGAGATACAACTATTTGAAAATCTGGAATCTGAGGGTGCAAAAAAAATCTAAATACTGAGAAAATCGCCTTTAAAGTTGTCCAAATGAAGTTCTTAGCAATGAATATTACTAATCAAATTAAGTTTTAATATATTTACAGTAGAAAATTTACCAAATATCTACATGGAACATGATCTTTACTTAATATCCTAATGATTTTTGGCATAAAAGAAAAATCAATAATTTTGACCCATACAATGTATTTTTGGCTATTGCTACAAATATACCCCAGCGACTTAAGACTGCTTTTGTGCTCCAGGGTCACATATTATATTATATTATTATATTGCACTGTGAAAAAACTACAATAGGACAGTACAATAAATACTGCCATAAAATATACAGCTCCTTACAGATTACATACTATATCATTTTTATTATCATATACCAGGTTTATTATAGTAAAAACTTAGTAACAAATAAACTTCATTAAAAAAAAAACATTTTCGTTACTTCTTATAAAATAAACAGCAACTGAATTAATGTAAAAAAATAAATAAATACTTACATTTATTTGATTTCAGCTAGTTTCATTTCTCATTTAAATTTGAATTAGTTTTACCTGATGTACTAAAATAACTTTAAATAAAAGACTAAATAAAATTAACCGAATTTCATTAATAATTTATATATATATATATATATATATATAAAACCTTTATAGACATAAAAATTTAAAAAAAAAAAAAGACAAATACACATAACAACATTACTAACATTTTACCAAAAATTTAAATGAAAACAGAAAATGCAAAAATAAAATCGGTTTCAAAATATTACAAAAACAAATACTATATACAGTAACAAAAATTAGGTAAAAAAAAATTGCTTATGAAAAGTACAAAAAATGTTAATCATTAGCATAATTTGTTATATTTTTCTAATGATTTTGAGATGA